TAGAGGAGCCTGGGCAGGCCTGTAAATCTCACCTGGAGCAGCACTACCCTCTAAAGAAAAGTCAGTGGTGTAGCTGTCATCTGGAACTTAATATTTTAATAGAGCCATTCAGGGGGCTCAGGACAGAAATACTTCTCTCCCAGTGGTCTGTGCTGCTTGAGATGTCCTGGGAAGAAGGGTTTTTTTAAACTTTTCATCATCAGAAATCAGACCATTTCCTTCCACAGTACCTTGGGGAGGCCAATGAAAACACTGCTCTGGCACCTTCCCCCAGACTCGCACTCTCCCCAGCACTTTTCTGGGGTTGCACATATTGAACCTGCTAAAATGCTTAAACTGCCACAGCTTTTGGCACATCCTTACCCTGGGCAATGTTCCCGTGGCCAAGAATCACAGCACAGTCTCCCCTGGGGATCATGCCTTGCTGGTCCCCCCAGAAAGGCTCCTTTTCCCACACACACATTTTCACACATTTCATTGTTTGTCTCCCATCCATTTTTCCCCCAATGGAGCTGAGTAAAAAGGAGCATTGAGAAGGGCACTGAAGAAATGAAGTGGTGACAGTAGGAAGCACTGAGGGTCCCAGTGGGAACATGAGCAATGCTGATACACTTGTGGAGATCAGAACACAAACAAGGCATGAGCTGTTAAAGCCCTCCCCTGCAAATAAGGGGTGGAGATGGATCTCCCAGCAGTCACTCCCAAGGCCAAGAGGCAGAGAAAGAAAAGTCACAGCCGTGTTTTTCTGTTCCTCTGTGCCCTACCAAGGCCAGTGCACCCCAGGGGGGTCCTACCTGGGCACAAGTCATCCATTATATCCATGGTTCCTTCAGGATTGCACCACAGGAAACCTGTGCTGGGGAAATACCACACCAGGGCAGCTGAGTTTATTCTCACAAGTAGAAGGGAAATCAATCATGGAGCAAAGCAGGTGGGGACAGTCACGTCTGCATACACAGTTTTCAGAAAACACATTAAAAATTTATTTTAAATATATTATAAAAGGAAGTCCATTCAACTTTAAAAACACTAGGCATTCTATCAATGATTCCCAATTTATGAAAGCTACTACATTAAAGTGCTACAAGTCCTTTACCACCCCCAGATATTAGGCTGTTGGTCCTAATACGCACAAAATAAATACACACTGATTCAAGAGGCACCATCCAGTTTTACAGAGAAAATGCATGCAGTACAAGGTACAGACAAACTTAGACCTAATCACCGAGATCCTAGAGAATGCATTTTGAAACCAATTCCCTTCTCCACCCTAGAGGCTAAAGCTATTTGTTGTTGTTATCGTAAGGGCTAAGGTTTCAGGCTGTTAGCTTGATCAGTTTTTATCTTGTTTTGTGGCTGAAGTTCACATTTGTTTGCTCACTATCAGGGATTAAGACTTTTCTCCAAGAATTGAACTAGTATATTTAAAACCACATTGATCCAATGGCTTTATATAAACTCCCAAATCACTCACAACTGCTGGAATCATTGAAGCCTTTTGGGTCATACAGAAGCATCAAGAAAGCTCAAATGCAGTCAATTAAGGAGTGTACTCAGCTAGCAGAGGCAGAGTCAAAAACAGACACAGGTTTTTTATCAGGGTTTTCATGATCTATCATTGCCTAGTTCCATACAGATTCTCCAAGCTAAAGCATGGCACTACAAAGTAGAAATCAGAGCAGGAGGTGAGCTTATTTTGGTTACACTTCAAATTTATAATGTGAATAAATCAATCTGACTGGTTAATGAGGAATATGAAATGAATTGATGAGTCTGTGTTGAATGCTGATGGCAATTTCAGATCTCATTTCCCATTCTCCACCCACCACATATCTCTCCACTTGAACCAGGTGAAGATGTGCAGCTTGTTTTAAAATCTGGACTCAACACTCACTAGGTCAGAAAAAAAAGCACTTGAAGGTGAATCCTACACAAGCTGGGAAATTGCAGCACACAGACTTTCCTTGCTTAAGGTAAGTAAGAGGCCATGGCAGCCGGGGAGCACCCAGTGCTCCTGACTCACCAGCCAGCTCCCCTTTGCTGTGTAACCTGTGAAAGCACCCAGAGTCCATGAGCCCCAGCAGCTGGAAGGGGCTGTGGGACGAAGGTACACCTGCATCACTTGGGCTGTTTCACACAGGGCTTCACCAGGGCTCTTCTGACTGCAAGCATGACAGGCTGACTGCCAGAGGCTGGCTGTTCTCTCCAATCAATTCCAAGTCCCTGTCTGTATCCTGAAAGACAATTTAGAATAAAATCTTCTCCCTTTTCACCGGGCAGTTCCATGACTGCCCAGCCTGACTGTTAGGAGATGTTTCCCCTGGGTGATGTGAGCCAGCAGAGCTGCTGTCACAGCCCTGCAGCAGCCCCAGAGCACTGTGCTGCTCCTGCACTGTTGCTGGAGCCTGTTTGACTCTCAGGGAGAAGGGAAGTTTGCTGACTGGAACACTCCAGTAGTACAGGAAAGCAAAGCCCTGTGCACAGACTGCTGTAAAACCAGCCACGAGGAAAGTCAGGCTGAGAAATTGCTTTCTTGCTACTTCTGTATTAGAGATTTAAATACACTCTTGAAAAAGTTTCCCAGTGATGGAAGGCATCAGCTTCTTCTGAAAGATACTTCTGCTACACATGTTATATGCTTTTGGGACTATTTGTGATTTGCATACTTAGAAAATAAAATGCAGGATCCTGCATGCCAGTGAAATCATGAGCCTTCACCATGAGGTGAAACATCCAGCAGCTCACCAAGACATCTCCTAGTACAGCTTCAGCTGTTACAGCACACCCAGAAGAAGCTGCCAACCTTTCCAAGTCTCCCTATTAGGAGTGACAAACCTCCCCAGAGTCATTAACCACATCGATTTAACAGAGGGAGCCCAGGAGCTTCTGAATTACTGTCGTTCACACAAATTTTGCACTGAAAATCAGACATTTAGAAAAAAAAATCCCACACACAAACCCTGCAGGAGGCAAGCTTTCTTTTCCATCCTTATCCCCCAACCCCTTCCCCTCTCCTCTCTTGTCCAGCAAGGCACTAGGAAATGGTTCAAGTTTAAGCATTTGCTGTACATTTACATTTAAAAAGGCACATCTTTATTTTAATGATGCTGTATTCCCCTTTCAGGAAGGCTCACACTTTCTTCTATTGTGGTTTGAAAAAGATAATTAATTTCCTAGGTATGAGAAAAGACACCTTGCACATATGAGAGCCCCAAACCTATTTACTGTCTGTAGGCCTTAGAGATTAGCACCAGTATAGATCAACAACAGCTTCAAGAGCAAATCAAAGGATTTTTATGCAACATAACACACACCCTGTAGTCTGGGATTCTGATACTTAAAAGCAGCAAAACTTATGCAGCCACAAAGAGAAGGGTATTTCAATACTTTTGGGGGGAAAATATGAAAACATGTATTTGGCATTAGATAATCACCAGTATTTAATCTCCAGTCTTGACTTGCATGCAGATGTGAAGATCTGATTATGTACTCATGCTTTAGTGATTTTGCTTACAAATAACCAAAAGTAATTAGAATAATTAACGAGATTGCCCTGCAAAGGCTCAGTTAAAGATGCAGATGATAAAATACAGCTTATATTTCTCAATCAGTGGATGGTTGGCTAATATTAAGTTCTTTGCATTAGTCAACAAAGCCTCTAGGGTACTGAAAAGTGTAACTGATGCAAATAATGAATAGCTCAAAGCCCAGTGAGCTAGTCAGAAGCATACAGAATTTGTGAGGCTCTTGCCACACTCAGATCCCAAACCTTCAGAAAAGAGATCAACCACACTGAGATGGACCTGGTACAAACACTGACACCAAATCTCTGGTTTCTGTGTACTGGTGGTGGTTTGCAAACAGGAATTGCCTCAACTATTGCCTAATCTGTTGGTGCAAGCTGCTAAGAGCTGACCTTTCTCTCCAAATTAAGATTACCAAGTGGTAAAAGACCTGTTCATTGCTGCAGCTCTCTCTGAAGCAAGAATCCAGTGGGCCAAGCAAGGGCTCCCTTCACAAGGTGAGCCCAAGTACAAAGCAAGCCATGCAGTTTAGAAACAGAAGCTAATCCTCTCATTAGAAAACTAAGACACACAAAGCTGCAACCTGCAAGCAGAACAACCTACAGTCCATTTATAGAATATGCTGATTGTGTCCCAGTTATAAAAAACTAGCACTGCTCATGGACAAACAGCTTCTTGTTCCACAGGCATTAAAACATTCATAAAGACATCTAGTCAGGCCATCTAGTGGCTCCACAGTCAGCACTACTCTGCTAATGAGAGCATTAATAACTGAGGGAAAGCAGCAGTCAGACACAAAGTGACTGGAAGGTGACTCAGGCTCCCACAGAAATGCAAAGGGATGGAATAGGGACAGACATACTGTAGTAACTGAGAACATAAGATGTCAGCTCTGCTTGAAGCTGGTCTCACTTCCATCCAATACTGCTGCAGAGCTGTCACAAGGGAAGTCTAGGGCTGTTTTTTATTTCTTCACTCCCAAAATCTTAGACACAATTTGGAAAGCCTGGTCCCAGCTGCAATGCAGTGCCCATGTTTCCTGTTATCCATGGACCAGCTGAGTTGGCAGGAAAGGTCAGACATGGCCTCAGCTGTGTGGATGAGAGGTGGAAATGATTCTGAGCCTCCTACACAATACACCAGACTGGAGAGTTTGGGGACAGACAGCTGTGTCCTTGTTTGCTCCCAGCTGCCAGGCACAGCACCACATGGCCTCCAGCACCTCTGAAACATGGGACACAACCCTACAACTGGCAACAAAAGGGCTTTTGCTTCTGGAGCTCTGCAGAGGGAGCTACCCTGCTTGTTTTGGGACACCAGGGAAGCATCTCCTTGCCTTCACATGAGAGACATCCCAGAGCAGAGCTGCCCTGTGCCTCTGAGGAGGGGCAATGTTCTAACCATGCTCATCAAGCATCCCACAGAGGTCCTCCCCTCCTCATGACCCCAGAGCTGGCTGCCTGCTGCCTAACTCTTGCAACACCCCTGCATGGGCAGCTAGACAAACCAAGGAGCTGGGCAATTCCTGGCAAAGGAATCCTGGTCACTAATTTACACAGCATCTGTTCACTGCATCATCATTCCCAGCTTTTACCAGAAAATGCCACTGCTCCCTTCAGTAAAGGGAACTAGTAAATGTGTTTTTGCAACAACTTCACTTTAAACCAGATTTTAAAAAAAATACTTGCTTCAGATAGACTTGAACCAATGGTCCTCCATTCATTCTTTAGTGTCAGTACATTCCAGCTCCTGGATGAGACAATCCTGGTTCATGTCTGGCAGATCCCACAGCCAAACCAGAAGGGGTAACACCTTGCACTGCTCACTCACTGCACAAAGGAGAGGGTACCAGGAAAATGGGTCAATCAGTCCCATGTCTCTGCTAAAGCAAACAGATTTGCAGTCACAGTAAACTGTACAGTGCTATGGGTGCTGGGAAATGAGAGATTAACAGCACATTTCCACAAGGCTAGAACACCACTGACCGCAGGACTCAAGAAACTACAGACTGATGAACAAATGGATAAAGACCAATGGCTAATCTCAGCCCTGACTTCATTATCCTGAATTAATCTGCTCACACCAACTGTAAATTAACTTAGCCTTCAAAGCTCTAAAGGAAGAATGGAAATTGTCTTCACACAGTAGATTTAACTCAGAAATCCTAGAGATGTCTGTGCTAAAAAGGTTATAAGAGGCAAATTTGGAACCTGATATCCAAAGGCTCTTAGCATAAAGTCTTTACCTGTAAGAACTTATTATTTAAAAACCCTCTGCTAATCTTTCACCTTGAAGATTCAACAGTGAGTGACAAACTGACTGCAAAGTGAATGGAGCAGAAACTCAGATTCCTCATGGCTAATAACAACAGCCATATTCCCAACACTTGGCTGCACTTTCACTAGAGCTCATTCCTTCATCAGAGCTATGATTTGGAAAGTAATAATACTCAACCTGCTTGAAATATATTTGGTTCTGGGCAAAAAAATACACATTTCATTTTACAATAATGGGCTTTTTTTTTTTTTTTCCTTTGATTGGAGGCTTAAATCTTGTCTTCAATATTTTACTTATATGGAGTTTGGAAGATAAAGCACCTATGTGGGAATGCTTCAGTGGGTGGTATAGCAGCTACAAAAAGTCCTGCAGGGTCGTGGATAACAAAAATCATTTAACACCAGACCCCAGTGGGAAATAAAACTAAAAAGGTAAAAAATAAAAAGCGCCATTTGAAACACATTCAGACTCCTCTAAAAACAGAGTTTCTGTTCAGTCTCAGCACAGAAGTGGCTCTGGCAAAGCCTTTAAAATTCCACCATCCCCAGAAGAGAAGGATGCAGCATCTTCACAATAAAGACTGGCCTGCTAATTAACCTTCTCCTGAGATTCTCCCTTTTACCTTCATTAAGTGTTTAAAAAAAAGTATTAAAAAATTTTTTTGTAACCCTCCCCAGTAAAAACTATAATTGTAAAATATATATATATATATTCTCTCAGTCTTTTAAAGATCAAAGTTTCTGTTAAATTTTTCCAAGATGGTTGAGTTTGTGTGTTCAAATATCCACTGCTGTGTTGGAGATGAAGGGTTGCAGCTGTTCATAAAGATCTTTCGATCACTCTCACTGCAGTCCATACAGCTGCTGCTGACTGGGTGGTACAGGGTCTTGTCCTGGAGGAGAGAAATTTGATGTCAGGTTGCTTAAGTGGAGAAGAAAGGTTGTTTTAAAACCAAGAAAAGTCTTAAAAACCAATTATGTCACCTGGGTGTATCTGAAGTTGTTCCACACTTAACTGGTTGACAAGTGTCTGGGTTCATTCTCACCCCTTCCAAGGGAATGCAGCCCAATCCCTCACCTGCACTAGGAACCCTCTAGAGCTTCCCAGGGGCTCTCCTGGAATCCTGCTGCATCCCTCTAGGGCACCATGCCAGCAGATTGCAAGGGCTAGGGCACAGCACTTAGACAAGAATTTACTTACCTGTGGCCTACAATAGCATTGCTTAGTAGGAGAAGGAATAAATCCTTATCTACTTTTGGCAGGACATTGCAGTGCTCAGAACAAACCAAATCTCAGAACATCTCTTTGCAAACTCAAGGGCATTGCAGCACCTCACTGTCAGCCGTGGGGACACTGCACAGAGATTGTCCCCTGCTCAGGAGCCCTGCGGTCCTCACCTTTGTAACCATTCAAACAGGAGAGTCACCTCTTTTTAACCAATAACAGGCTGTCTGCACATTCTCTTATTACAGCTACACGAAGAGAAGGAATAAAACGTTGTGGTGACATTTTCAGGAAACGTAAGCGCCTCAGGCAATTTGACACCTTAGCTGAGAATACACCCACACACACAGACTCACTTTTCTGTATCTCCAGAGCTGGTTCCCCTTCATTCCATGACAGTCATAGAGGGTCACAGGGCTGCTGTGGGAAATGGCATCAAAACAAAACTTCTTGGTGTGCTGAGGATCCCCTGGACGGATGTCCTCTCTCCAGCTGAAGGTGAAAACCTGTGAGGATAAACAGGACCCTCACAATGGCTGGTCATAATACTTTCAGTGGCAGAATGCTGCTCCCTGTGCCCACAGGGTGGGGATGCCTTCAAGGGAAGGACAGTATCTCCTAGAGGAAAACTCCTGCTGCCTCTGGGGACAGGGACTGCTGACCAGGGGACCCTGTACCAGCTGTCACACAGCATGTGAAACGAGACTGAGCTGCTGCAGCCAGCCAGGCTGGTCAGCCTGGGTACAGAGCAGCCCTGGATGTCTCTGCAATGCAGACATACATCAAGGATTAAGTGAGCAGCTGACCAATTACAGCCCTTCCCAGCCAGCAAAAAAAGTCAGAGAGCTCCAGCAGCTCGGAGTTAACGCTGGCAGTGAACACCAGAGGCTGCACAGGCAGCCTGCAGTCACCTTGAGAAATTGTCCCACACCCCTGGGACAGGAGAGCAGGAGCCACAGCTTCCCACCCCACCCACAGGAGTGCAGGAAGGGCAAACGCTGGGGCGTGGTTTCCTGATGCTCCCTTCTACTGACCCTGCAGTGAACTCTCAGCACTCCCAGGTGAAATGAAGGAGGGACTCTGGAGAGCAGAGGAGGAGTTTTAACTCCAGTAACTGAGCACATCTACGCCTGGCAATGCAGTCCCCGATGAAAGGGCAGCACTGGCCCATGTGCTTCTGCAGGCCAGCATGCCTCTCTTCAGTCCCTAAGGAAAAGGCTGTTCTGGAGCCTCCTTTGGAGGCAGCTGGAGGAGCAGTTCTCCTCAGAGATCTCTCACAGGACACTCAGAAAGGCAAGTAATTATCAGGGTGCTGCTATTTGAAGCAGTGTGGCCAAAAACTTTTGAACAAAGAAACTACTTTGTTCTTGGCTGTCTTTTAAATCCCTCTTGAGACAGAAATTACCACAATCATTTAGGCTCAATGCTACTCAGAAGTTCAAGCCACATTCTCTTCCTAAACATAAGCCAAAACTAATTTTCAAGATCCTCCTGACACAACAGAGGCTTAGTTTTGGACTGTGCCTGAGTAAATTGGTTTTGTTTCTATTTTTCACGCATCAAATTGATATGCAACAACCCTCTGTCTCCTACTACTGGAGCCATTCCCTGAAGAGTTATGCGTGGCTCTGTAATAGAGGCATTGTTTTCTTGATTCTTTCTCAGCTCAGCTGCTACAGTTTAGACAAACTAATATTTTCCTCCCTTCTGTTACAATAAAGCTGTCGTTTCTGGCACCTCATATGTTGAGAGGGTGAATCTATAACCTGGCTGGTTTCATCTCCCCAGCAATGGTTGGGTGTTTATAATGCATTTGCCTCCTGTCAGGAGGATGATAGTGAACAGTTATTGAATGCTCCTGCAGGTTCATTAATATGCATGATGCTCCTCTATCACTTCTTTCAGCACAACCTTTGAAGTTAATATTCACTTTGTTACATATTACAGCTGCCTTGTTACTGGTTTATTGTTTTGGCACACTGTTTTCTTGTCATTTCTTTTGTTCACTCTGAGAACTTCAAAGCAGAAGTAAAAGCTCTGCACAGCCTGCCAGGCTCCAGACCCCCTGTGCCACAAGCACAAGCCACATCCTGTCCCAAAGCACAAGCAGCATGTGAGCCTTGGGTGCACCTGACAGCTCTGGATGGCCTTCCTTCCTTCAGCACTGCTCCTTGGATCCTGCCCCTGCCCAGGTTTAGGGGCTGATGATTTCTCAGGCTGTTACCTGCACGTTGTTCCACGCTGCCTCTCCTCTGTCCTTCACACAGTTTTCCAGCCTCAGTGGGGATCCCAGGGCTCCATGCTTGGTATCCACACACAGTCCAGTTCCCACATTGCGGATCTGAAATAGTGAATTAGTCACTCAATCCTACCAGGAAAGAAAGCTCAGATAGTCTCAAATTTCACCAGTATTTGTATGAAAGTAGTTTTTAAGATTCCTCTCTTAACTGGAAGAAAGCACAGAACCCAAAATGGGATCCAGCTGTACCCCCAGCATGCAGCAAAACCCAGCAGAGACAGGACTGCAGAGCCCACTGTGGGCTGGGTTGTCTGGTGGTGCCATTTTCCACAGGTCTGTACCTTGTACCTCCTCTCTTAGGTCTGTACCAGTGTGAATATTCTGTAGCAAGTGTACAATGAACGCTTCTCTTCTAGATTCTTAAGTAGTTCGGATCTGTGAGTTACTCTTGTGCTATAGTAAATTCTACATGAAGCTTTTGTTGAATTATATAACTTAAGCTATAGATTAAGTGCTGTTAAACCTGTTGGTTGAGTTCAGAGCTAAGTTTAGTAAGGGAGTTCACTCTGAACCTTGTAACTCCATGGGAGGATCTCCCTTACTCTTTTATCCTTACCCTTTTCCATCCCTAGTCTTCACACAGGCTGATTTCAATTTTAGATTAATTGATTTTAGATTTTAGTTTGCTTTTTCTCTGTGTGCTTTAACCTCCTAGAAAGTAGTAGAGTGAACCTTGCCAATAAATCTTGTCATGCTTTCACTTTTATATTACACCTGCTTTGCCAACACCTTTGCCAGTGATTCTTTGAGCAACCCAAAACACTCAGCCACGAGAGTTGGGTGTTACAATTCACAGCCTCACTTCTGGGGTGGTTCTACTCCCAGAACACAGCTGACTTTCAAAAATACAATTGGTTTTCCTGCCTTTCACATGGGAAAGCTAAGGACAAGAGTAGCTCAACACAGTTGTGAAGCGCTTTGGAAATACAAGATTTCACTATTGCTCAGCTGCCGCCACTCCCTAATCCTCCCTCTGGCATATTCTGCTTTCTACTAAATACACAACATGCAGAACAAGCCAAGTCTCTACTCTCGTTGGAGCTGTGCACTAATAGAAGCAGCTGCCTGCCCAACTGCCTGCTTTGATCAGGCCAGAGCAATGGCAGAGGAGTTTTGGGTTTTGAAACATCAAGCAGATCTTTAAACACTCGCTCGCACCTTACTCACAGTAACCGAGGCACATGGGCAGCCTTAAAAAACCAAACTGCAGATGTCAGAGCACAAACTTGCCTCTCCCCAGGCAGCTGCTGGAGGCTCCACTGGCGGGTAGAACTTTGGCAAGTCCCAGGCCACCTCGTTCATGAACCACTTGAAGCTTTTGCAGTTGAGGTTGTTGCGGAGCTCCTTCTGCGCGGCGACGTCGCCCGCCGAGAGGTGCCGGTACTCGGGTCGGCGCTGGTAAATGTACTCTGCATACTCATCCATCCACACTTCAGCCACCCTCTTCAGGTTCTGGGGAGGGAGAGTGAGAGGGGAAACCACCTGAGAGAGCTGCACAAGCCACCATTAGCATTCAGAGCAGCTGGCGTGTTTTTGCTCAGAAAGGATTTTCATTCACATCCACTCTTTCTCTCCAGCTTCAGGACAAAGATTATTTTTATTACTCTGTAGTTCCAAGGGACTTTTAGAAAGATATTTTCAGTTGAGGTCAAAACAGAATCCTGGCACTTGGCCATTATATCTAGTTCCTTGTGGCTAAGAAAAACAACATTAATCAAAAGTTGTTTTTCTTTCCTTTTTTCTGTAAGGAAAGTAGTCAGAGCATGATGCTGGTAAATACCACAGGACATTCAAAGGTCTCTGACAAAAAGCTGCTTTCTTAAATCCTTCTTATTGCATCTTTTATATCCATCTAGGAATGGGATTTGAAGTACTCCCTTCTGAAAAGCTCTAGTTCACAATACTCTTTCTTAGCACTATTTTTCCATTTTCTTGGGTAAAACTCTTGAGATACCTCAGGAATGCAGAGCTTTCAGGTGATGACCCTTAAGAATAGAAGCAAAGGGTTTTACCTTGTGCCAGCAGCACATTTCATGTATTACTGTAAAGCTTAATCCCCTGTGCACCTTCAAGACAGCAACAAACACCACCCACTCAAGACAGCCTGCTTGTCACAGTGCCCTTGAGAGTGCTGGAGCTTGGGCTGCTCTCTGGCAACATCAGGCACATTCTTGGTGCCCCTTGGTAATGTGCCAAGTGCAGCTGTGACTCCTCACCTGAAGCTGCTCAGTCCAGCAGTGATCATTTACTGCCACAAAAGTTGGGAAGCTCAGAGTGAGCAGCATGCTGATCCTGCCCCCAGTGCAACCTGCACACAACAGGAGCAGGTGTTTACCTCAAGGTGCCCGTTAAGATGCCAAGAAACAGCCTTTCCTACCTCTCTGCTGTCTCCTTCCAGCACTGTGGGAGTTCACAAGAGCCAAATACTTGAAATCAAAATACTGTGAATCAAAAGAAGCACAGCTCCCTCCTGAAGAGATGGCACAGACAGGAGAGTGCTCTGGAGCTCTGACAGGTCAATGTTGGGCTGAGGAATAAATCCAGATCTATAACTGGGGTGATGCCATTAAAGCATTGTAACACTGTGCAAGCCTTAAGATTTCAGAACAGCAGGGCACCTCTCTGAGGTTTTTGGTTTTGCAGCCTTTCTGCTCCTAGGATGTTTTTCTCCCACCAGAGGGCAATGCAATCCCTCCTCAATTTGAAAATTAGCTAGAGAAACCCAGTGCAGGATAGAAGAAAGCTCTTTCTTCTTTGGGCTACACTAGATGAAGAAATAAGATGGCACAGAACATTCCACTGTGGAAAATTACAGCTTGCCCATTCAGTGGTCTGTGATGCTTGAAGTTGAGAGGTCTTTCAATCACCAAAACCAATCACCACGCTGAAGCCTGCTGCTCTTAGAGAGCACAGCTATAAAATGACTCAAGTTATTATACAAATAAAGCCATATCTTGTTTTTATAGCCAGAGCTGATCACAAAGTCCCTGCCCAGCAGTGGCTGATGTCTGGAGCATGGCAGCTGTTCATACACACATCTGCAGTTCCCTGGGCTCTCTTCCCTTTGTGCTACACATCCACCACTGCAAAACTGCTCAGCTTGCACTGTACAAGTGCAAATTACAGACAAAACCCCCTAAATATGCCTCCCATTGTGGGGTGAGAGCAGACAGCAGCACAGTCACGCTGCAGCCAGACTCCTGCTGTGGGGAATGCCACTGCCACTTACTCTTGCCAAGCTGACTCCTGTGGGAACCTTGTATGGAACATATTTCCTGTAGATATGGCCAACTCTAGAGCAAGGGATGTCCTCCATGCGACCTCCACACATCCATACCTGTGGAACAGCAAACACATTCAGTCTTGGCTTTATGGAGGAAAATGAAAAAGAAAAGACTTACAAGTACTAAAAAAACTTAACCCAGATTTTTACATTAAAGTACACTCTTCCCAAATCCCCTCCCCGCCTTAGTCCCAAATCCTACAACAACCTGCTTAGAGCCATTCAGCAAGCTTTGATTTAGCAAAAGTGCTCTCAAGCCTTCTATACAGAAAAGAACAGGGAAAAAAAATCCAAGCAATGAGAAAACTGCACACACCTTGCTTTAAACTGATATATGTTATTACAGCAATAGTAACCACAACAGTTAAACTGGGCTGCCATAAAAAGCCCTGGGTGTGGGTTGTGTAACGAGGCTGTAAAAGGGAGGCCATCTCCCCAGTACAGGTGGTCATGTGTTATGCAAAAGGCTCCAGGGAATTCATGAGCCTGTTCAAGTGCCAGAAATCAGAAGAAACTGCTACTTTTCCCCGTGGTTATCACTGCTCTTTTATGGTTTCATTGCTGACATTCATTCATTGCTTTTGCAGCCTTACAATTAAGTGGAAATCTCTGCCTGGTGAACACATAAATAGCTTTAAAAAAGCCCTCAGGAAGTCACTAGAACACACTGCTAAGTTGGAGATGACTACCTTGATGCTTGGTTAATGTCTAGAGCGGGCCCAAAAGCTTCCTTCCCCATCTGGGAAGATTTCACTTTGTGCCAGCACTCTGCAACAACTTTCTTTTATTCTGCATAGTGTGGATGTAGTAATTTTGTCCAAGTGAAACAAAAGGAGACGCTTTCTAAATCAGTCCATCTACCTCATTAGGTTTAAGAAATATTTCTGTGTTTCTCAGAAATATCCAATCAATACTTAAAGAAAAAGTACCTTTTAGATTGCCAAAAAAATGACTTTCTGAATTCCTGAAGGGAGGCACTGCCTTTGCTTTTCTGTTTGTCCCCAGATCCCACGGGAGTGCCCCAAAGGCCGTGGATTTTGGTGCAGTGCTCCTGGTTTCCCTCTTCACTGGGGCTAATTTGAGCCACCAGAGTTCACTGTACAATGAGCTTAGTCAACAGCTTCACACAGAGCAGGCAATTCCATTAATATTCTACAGTGACAATATTAAATACTTAGCTCAGAAGAGAAATATTTGGCCAAGGCTGCTGCATAATTATTAGCTCTGACACTAAAGTCCTCTGGAGTTTCAGCTCTGTCTGCTGGCCCTAATAATTACAGTCATTTGCTGACTGCATATAACCTAATGGAGGTTGGTTGCTCTCAGTTAGAGAAATATTTTTCATGGGCAACTTCTAAAGTTCAAGGTACTTAATTATATGTCATTATGGTGAGAGAGACAAGAAGAAAGTTGACAAACACTCCTAGAGAATTTCATTCCTTTTGTCCCTGCTGTGTCCTGAGAGGCTGGTGCAGAAGAGATGAAAAAGAAACTAGCATTCAGCTCCTGTGAAGTTTCTTATGGAATTAGAAATGCTTTTTATTCTGCAGTGACTGTGCTTTTGGCTGCAAAGGGCCAGTGTGATTTCACTGCTGGGAAATTAAGAGGCTGAGAAAACAAGAATTTGGACATGGTTTGTGTTTCTAGGACAGAAATGGTTTGTGCAAGGCTGTAAGAGCTGCAACAGACCTGGGAACCATAAAAACCCTCAGGAGCAGCAGCAGAAGCCCAGAGCTCAGTTGCACAGACACACAGACTCCTCAACAACCTGCACTGCACCCTGCAGCAAGCAGCCTGACGGGTTCACAGCAGCTGCATTTTGGTGTAACACAAGCCTGGCTGCAAACACAGCCTGTTCTCCTTGCTGCCTGCCCACAGGATGCCTCACCTGCCCTGTCTCTAAGGAAGGCTTTCAGCCAGGCCACCACCAATGCAGTTTTCTGGAACATGATGTCCCTGTGTAAGCTGAGCAGCAGAGCCCTGCAGTCGGTACAGCGGGAGAGGAGAGAGCTGTGCTTGTGCTGCACAGCTGGAGAGGCAGCAGGAGTGGGAAGCTGGACAGGACTGATGGGCCAGCAGCTCCAAGCTGGTACAAGACTCCAGGCTGAGATGACAGCATCACAGGAACACATGCAATGGGATCAGAAAAGCTACTTAACTGAGTTGCTTAATAAGTAAAACCTAGCATCAGTTTGACTTACTCTTTTCTTGCTCATGCTTTTAAAATGCTGCAATGGAGGCAATGGAAGGCTTCCTAATCCCTACCAGCAGAGCTCAGTGACCCTTTTAAGGTATTTTGCCACCTCTGTGCCTTTTTAACGTTGCCTCACACTGCAAGTGACAGAATGGCACCCGCAGTACAAATCTAATTTTAAAGGCATGCTTTCCATTCATTCGTTGCTGCTTTGATTTATTTTATTAGTGAGCTGCTTTGTGTGGTGACAGAACTCATTACAACCCCCATAAAGACAATTACCAGTCCTTATCTATACAACTGGAAAAAGGGGAGAGGGAAAGAGCGTGATATGCATTGGTAAAACACAGCTAACAAAAGCATTAGAAAGCTAGAGCTAAAGGTCAGAGAATCGCATCCAGGGGTCTGTCAAAGAGTAAATGCAAGAGAAGCAAACCCAAAATAGCTGTATGCTAGCCGAGGGAATGCTTCCACTCACTTACTGATATTTGGTTGTTTTTAAACAAGAGTGCAGTTCCCAGGCATGACACACCAGAACGTACACTGCTAAAAATACTGCACTGTCAGAGAGCTGAAATGGTGCTGGGCTGTGGGGCAGCACCTCATGCCTTCCCCACAACACTGACTGTCACTTGCTGCCTTCTCTAGGCCTGTTTCTTCTTGCCTCACTCCTCAGCTGACATGACAGGAAACCTCAGAGCCTGAACCTGCGCCTGATTTCAAACAGCCATTTAGACCACAAGAACAAGAATTAAAGCTGGTCAGGCAGACAGTGCTTCTTACAATAATCTAATCAGATCTCATCAAGAGAGGACAGGAAATTTCTCTTCCTCCTCAGGCACAATTTTGCCAATCTTCATTTTGGGCTTGGAGTCCAGCAGCTGACAGATCTAGAATTAAAGGAAAACCTGGCTACACTGAGGTCAACGGGCACACTGAGCAGATTTAGCTAAGGCCACAATCTCACCCTAATAATAAAAACTACACAAGGGAAATAAACTAGCACTGGTGATATTGCTTCCATCTTCCCAGCAGCCTGGAGAGCTGTAACTCCATATTCATAAAGTGACTCCAGAGCCTTTGATTCAGTCAGTATGCTGTGAAAGCAGCAGATAATATGCCACCTATTCTCTACATGGGAATGTTATGCTGATCCAATTCCCTTTCTGCAATTTCAGAAAACAATGTCAGGTAAGACAGCTGAACCTCTCCTCTCAAACACACAATACAATGCTGCAGTTGGTGTGTGAACACAAATTATCTGGGTATACAAGGTTTATGGTTTCCAAAGACTGCACCATGATGAGCCAATGCTTCCCAAGAGAGGGGAAAAACACAAAGGATTGTTAAGCCTTGAAAATAAAGCTGCTTCTGCAAGAGACAACAGAAATGAAGACCATGGGATGGACCAACAGAGAGCAGCTGGCTGGTTGTGTGAGCACACACTGAAAGGTGGGAAGAAAAGGGCACAGAGGATAAGTCAAGGGGGTTCTCTTTATAACAAAGCAGGTGAGAGGATGAAAGCAAAGGCAATAACTCAGGGAAATTGTAATCCTCTGTACTGGAAGCATCAGCTGCTCCTGCTGCTGGGACTTGGTGCTCTCTGAGAGATTAAGGCAGCCCATGAGGCAGTGGGATCTGTGTGTTTGCACAGCACCTTCTCACACACCACACACCAGTACAGCCCCTCCTCACAGTCTGCAGCATTTGAGAGCAATGACAGCGCTTTCTAATAATCACATTTCAGGGAGTGGAGGGGAGCATTTCCCTGCTGCTGCTTGGTGGGAGGCAGCTCAGGAACCTGAACCAAGGAGAGGGTGCAGAGAGGCAAAAAATTCAAGGCAATGGTCTGAAACTGAACTGTGCATCACCAGATAGGAAGGGAGAAAGAAGCCACCCTGTACTGCAGCTGAGAGCCTTAGAATTAAGCAGCATGTGCTGGCTAAAAAAAAAACCAAAAAAACACCCACAAAAAAAAAGCAGCAGAATGCCTGGCCTGTTCCAGTGTGGGCAAACGTGAGCTGCTGCAAAGTGGAGTGAGGATGTGCCTGGAATGAGCAGTGCAGGCTCACAATCAGCACTAACTTCAGCAACACAAGCAGAAATGCTGTCAGAAGGGATCCCTTGGCAGCTGCACCCAAACTACACACCTGCCAGAGCCCAGGGGCAAAATGGGAATCAGAAATGTGCTGCTGGCATGGGGCAGAGGAGAGGCAGGCATTAGACATGTGAACAGAAGCTGTGCAGCACTTGGATTTGTTGGAAAACATGGAACATGTTTTAAGCTGTGGAAATCAGAAGCAATCCACGTTGATGGTTTGGGAAAAGGATCTGGAAAAATGCAATGATCTGCAATGACCTACAATGACCAGAATAAGTGCAATGGCTCTTTTCCTATTGCTGCAGCAAGAATTGAAGACCACAAGTACTAACCAGCTCTTTTGTCTCCCTTCTAATTGTTCTTTTCAGGGAAACTGTCAATTTGGCTTGTTTGCACTGAGCCCTTTGCATTTTATGAAGGCTTTACAATCTCCAAATTACAAAGCAAACGTCTCTAAAACTGGAATGATTTATCACCTGGAGAGGGACATTCTGGATTCTCATTCTTTACTCTTCAAGTACAGTGTGCAATTAAAGGACTGAGAACCACATCACTTGGATCTGAGATGCGAAGTACATCTATATTTTATTTATGCCTACACAAGTCAGACATATCCCTTTTTACTCTTCTGTTTCCCCATAACCAAAAAAATCAGAGACTATGTATTTATGGAAGAGAGGCGTGAAGCAGTTTAGTGAAGATTTATGTAAGCCAAACAGAATAGAAGCCACAAAAATACTGGAAAATAGGCAACACCATCTCAAATAAAACTGAGCATAGATAAGTGCTGTACAAAGTAGCACTTGCAGAAGGGAACAGTTTAAATGCTTCACACATACTGCTCCAAATTAAATGCACTTATGTCAAAAAAAAATGAAGTGCTTACGTAGGCAGCTGTTAAATTGTGTTTAGAAGAGGAAAGCTCCATTATAACTTTGGGTAAAGAATTGAGTTTTGTTTCCACAATCAGGAAGATAAAAAAAAAAAATCAGGAAAAGCTGCAAGAGAGGAGAGGTGACTCCAAAAAAGCAAAGAACCCCACCTGAATGAAGCCTGCTGAAAAAGGAAGCAGGGGGCAGCAGAAAGGAAAGGTGACAAACGCCCCATAGAGACAGCTGGGAATGCTTGTTTACCCTCTTTCCAAAATAAAAGAACACATTTTAGGGTCAGCACCTAGGAATTCACCTGTAACCACAGTGCAGACTGATCTGCCTGCTGTGTCTGAGCAGGAACCCCCTGACAGACCCTGAGCTGCTTTGGTTGCACTCAGGGCAAGAGAAGGAAGCAGTGCCCGTTTTCTGCTTCAATGTGGATAGATCAACTCCTTCCTTTCTGAACCAGAAACTTCTGTTTTAAGGCATTGCTAAGATCCAGAAAACAACAAACCAGCAGTGAAGGTTAGAAAGTTCACCTCAAGTTTTTGTCCCTCCTACATGCAATGTTTTCTAATGATGCTTGATGCACATGTTTCATACAAAGTGCAGGGCTTCTACAGCTTGATCTACCCTCTAGCTAAATATTTTCTGAGGTGTTAAACTGATGCTTTCTCTGTTGGCTTGCTTGAAAATTTCTGCTCAGAAGGAAGCAGAGCCAGCTGATAACAGAAATACATATGATTTCTAAAAAGAAAGGCAAGAGGTTCCTAAATAAACTTGTTTATTTCCAGTCTCTCAGCAACAGAGCCCTGCATTTTAAAATAAAGGCAAAACCAGCAAAGCACAGTCCATGAATGACCAAAAAAAGAATATGCTTAAAGCAAAAACAAATCCAAATCACAAAAAACCTCCCCCAAAAGTCCTGTACTCCTGGTGAGGCTCAAAAAGACCAGATCCAATGCAATGGATCACAGGCCAGCAGTACAGAAGAGTTCCTGCACCCACAACACCCAGGGACAGGAACAGATTCTTTATTAAAGGTGGCCTGTAAATCTGGCGTGCTTATAATCTGAATTCCCATGAGATAATAAATAATGTGAAAGCAGGTACCCCACACCTAAAGCCAGAGCTTTAAATTATTTGACAGCACCTTTAACTACAAAATCTCAGTCTGTTTCTAAAGGTAAAAACATGGCTCTAAGCTCACCAGGAAATGTCATAGCTTCATAAATTCTATGAACAAACCTTCTATTCTTGCAATTCCAGCAGAATTATTAAATCTATCAGCCACAGATGAATGTATCAATTTATCTTAATTTCTGAAAATACACTGAGCCTCTTTCATTGAAAACTTCATTTTTCTGTTGCACAATGAAAGAAAAAAGGGGGTCTTTGCAGAGATTAATTAAAGCAAATTTATCCCTCCATAAATTACCATCTCTGGACTGAAATAAAACACAGCATGTTTCAGAGGGGATAAGCAAACAGATGAATGAAGCAGTCTTATTTCCTGCAGATCAAGCAGTGTGACTGTCTGCTGTGGCACTGGAGACAAAGGGCTTGCCCAGCCACTGTCATCACTCTTGGAAACCAGAATTTTCAGAGAGGAAGAGCCTGAGTGCTGCCCCTCCTGCAGAGAATGAGTGCCTTACACAATTTCACTACACACCACACACAAAGGTGGAATGGCTCCAACCACAGTGGCACCCCCAGAGAGGGTGCCCCAAGCCCTCCCTTCCTGCCACTGTTAGAGGACAAGGGACATCCAAGGTGACTTATGGGTTCTGGTGAGGAAATGATGGAACAAAAGGCTGTCTCAAAATCAGGGTCTTTTCTCCCACTGTGTTCTGCCCAGCAGCACATGGGGTGTGTGTATGGCAGTGTGGCTTGCTGAGGATTGATTTTCTCTGAACTGCACAGAGGCATGGAGACTCTGGAATCTGTTTTTAAGATTTTGTAAGGCTGTCATATCAGCCATGACTTGTCAGGGGAGACAGAATTTCAGCTGCTGAAGCCAAACTGTGCACCACATCCCTGCTATCCTGCAGCCTCCTGCTAAGGTCAGCTAGCTAAGATCAGTGGCATGCAGACACCTGTAAAATCAAATATTCAACCTCTGAAAGAAACCTCAAACAGAGTTTAATGTGGACATCTCTACTCAGTGTGGTCCAGGCTATGGGAAGGGCTCCCCCCACTGAAGAGAAGACTGGGCACCTGCCTTCAGGAGTTTGTGACATTCTGGTGGGTTGCCCGAACTGGATTTCAGAGTTCCACAGTTGAATCTAGCACAGGTACCAGCAGTCTTGGTAGGTTACAGTGACTTGTTACTCTTTGTATGGATTTTTGGTCAGCTGGATAACCCTTAAAGCCCTCCACTGACCAGCTCAATCAGTCAGTGGCACAACTGTCCCCAGGCCAGGCAGATAATGACCCAAAGTCATTGCCAGCAACAGTAATGACTGCAGTTGTTGAAGATTTCTCGCCAGGTAAGTAATAGCTTGAGCTCCTCACAGCCAGGGTCAGCTGGATTGACTTCAGACAAAGCTGTTCTCCTCTCTGAGAGCTCAAGCTGAGCACTGAGGTCCTCCTGGAACTGGAATCCTCATTCCCTCAAGGAGAAGAGTATTTCACATCTCGCCAGGTGAGCATTAAGCACCCCCAGAGGCAGAGAGCTCCACACAGCTGACTTACCCTTGCTGGGAAGAGTGCTTGCACTGGAGCTGTGACCACAGCACAGGCACAGCCCAGCTAATCCTGCTCCAAAACTCACCCTCACAGTCACTGCTCACATCAGTGCTCATTCTTCTGGGCACTATCTCACTACTCCCAGCTTTTTCACCTTTAGTCACATATAAAAGTAAGGACAAGACAGATCATTCACATTCTGCGCCTCAGAACAAATTCTTACTTTTCAAAACAAAAGTAATTTCCAGAGAACATGGCTCACCTTAAAGGATATTTCATACTGCTCTCCTCCCCATATCTCCAGACCTGCATCATACCCTCCCAGCTCCCAGAACCACTTTCTATCGACTGCAAACAGTCCTCCAGCCATTACAGGAGACCTTAAGGAAAAACCAGACTCCATATTACAAACACATCACAAAGACACAGATCTCTAGCTAAACATTTAAAAAACAAAGCAAGATTTGACAAATATTCTTTTCCCCACCCAGTGTTCCCAGTGCCTTTACAGCCCTGTCAGTGCATCAAACAGTTGTTTTGGTGTTATCTACTGATTTCCCACTTGCAAATGAGGAGAACCAGAGCAGGCTCCCTTCAGAACCTGCCAATGCCTCTCCTCCAAGCAAGGACCATAAAGTGACAGGAGACCACCTCAGCCCAAGGGACCTGAATGCTCCACACAGCTCTGCTTCTATTGTAAGATTAAGTCTTTGAGTTTGATCGCAAAAAGTGTTTTGTTGGTTGGGTTTTTTTTAAACACTGCAGAGTATAAAGGACAGCAGAACTGTCTCAATGTTGGCAAGCAGAGCAACAGCAGAGCACAACTTGATCACAGATTTTCTTCTGCAGTGCACTGTAATAATCAAAATTGCTGTAATTATTCTGCTAAGTTTTCTTCTTCCCCCACCTGGGAATGACACATAACCCACCATTGATTTGTTGTTTTTGGCAGAGCAGTAGGGATACTAAGTTATGTTTGAAAGATCTCAGTAATAAATGACCGCATTAATTGTTACACATTAGGGTTTTCAATGAAATGTTAACTTCTGCAGGAATTAACGTGGCAAAAAACAGCAATGAAAAGGAGAGTATTCACAGCTACTACACAATGCATTTCTTTTAAACCAGCAAAGCAAACAGCTGCCAAAAAAGCAAGTAGCTTAACACCAGCTCCTGGCTTTTGCTGTGCTGAGGTGTAAACCAAGCTTGCAGCAGGGTGTTATTTCATTAGCTGGCTCCCAGCAGCTTCAGTGACTTACTCAAAGGGATCACTGGGATCAGGTTTCTGTAACTCAGGAGGAATAGGGATCCTCTTGTAATACATCTCCCAGTCAAACGCCCCTCGCATTGCATCTCCAGCCTGGGTCTCGTATCCAAAGTGGTCGTGATCGATGACATCAATCATTGGGCAGACGATGGTCTTGCGGTTTCGGGCAATGCGATCTGAAGATGGGAGAAACGTGTTAGAAAACCTGCACCAGCTGGTTCCTTTCTCCATGAAATTACAAAAAAAAAGAGCATCAAAATATGAAGTTGTCCAAGAACGACAGAGCTTTCTTCCTGTTCCTTCTCTCGTGAGCAGATGCTCCAATTTATATCAATTTATCTGCTACTTCTGCAATCACTGAGAGAAAAACACCACACACCCATCACCCAGAAGCAGAATGGGAAGACACAGTCACACTAGCACAGAGAATTGACTGCCAGGCTAAAACCAGACTTCTTGAACTCTGTAAGCAATCCTCGTTTCCACAAGTGACCAGGATGTGAACCCCTTCTGTGCAGATCCAGATCCAGGGAATAACCCACTGCACCACCCAGCCCTAACTGCCACACCAGAATCTGGCAGGAAGCATTTCAGACTAATGGCACAAATACTCTCAGCAGGCACAAGAAATGCAAGTGTTACCTCCTCCCTTCCAACCTTTTATTCCAACCAAATAATACAACACAGGATAAATTCCTGCATAAACATCTGGAATTCCTTAAATGCTTTGTTACTGAGATGGTCTCTTGTTGGAAGTTAGCTCTCAGAGTAGAGGGGATAAAATGATGTTTCAGCTTCCAAAACACATCTCACAGAAATCCTTTCTGTGCTGTAAAAACCAAAGCATCCTCTCTGTGTTCTCATTTAAATGGCACTGGAGCTAATTCTGTCCTCCCTCCCTGGGGTTCATAAAGCTGCAAATGTTTCAAACTATTGCCAAATATAAACTGTAGTGAAAGCAACAGGATAACCATCCATCAATCCTGCAGGAAAATCCGACTCTTTCTTAAACCTCTGCTTGACTATTGTTGCTACAGCCTATTTGAGAAAGTCACACCTCAGAGAGCTCTGACAGGTCACTGGCAGCAGGGCTGTGAAGGAGTTTGGTACTGGCTGGAGGCAGGCAGGTACCAGAAACAGAAGGCACTGTCCCTTCAATTAGTCATCCTTGAAAGGAAGTGACACCTCCTCAAAGATGGAGTGCTGCCTTGGAAAGGGGTGCCCATGTTCCACAAATACACACCAGCAGCTCTCATTCACAAGAAGTATTTTTCACAGCCTTGCAGACTATGAAGTTAAATATAGTTATACAGGAGATAAAACCCTTAAAAGCTACTCAAAAACTGTATATAAAAAAAAATGTACGTATCTTTTCTGTATCACAAAGCCATTCCTCTCTGCAAGCCGATGTGATAGTTTACTCTTCTAGCAAGATGCAAATTATTTCATTTAATGAGAAGAATATGATTTCTGCTCTTTAATTAACAAAACCATATGACAAGGTTACTGCACAGTGCAGGACTCCAGAACAGAAAAAGATCTCTAACTAAACACTACAAATTGCCAACAATTCACTTGAGCCTTGTGGTCGGTTTGCTCTCTCTTTTACCCACTTAGAGCAGGAGGGGAAAGCAGCAGGTGGGAATAACTTCAGCACCCCTGACTCACCTAGCAGAGGCGGCAGCCAGTTGACATTGGCCTCGCAGTGGGAGTCCAGGAAGGTGATGACGTCCCCGATGGCCACCGAGGCCCCCAGCATGCGGGTGCGGATCAGCCCCTCTCTCCTCTTGGTGCGCAGGATGCGCACGCGCGGGAACTGCGCCATGTAATCCTCCAGCCGCTTCTTCAGGTGCTCTGGGGGAAAGCAGACACTGGCACGCTGCAACAAACAATTCCTTAAAATCCTGCCCTGGCTTTACCACAGGGAGGTGGCTTTTGGAAGTGTGGCCTCAACAGGTGACTGTGGTGGTGTTCACAAGGGCCTCAGGACGAGGGAAGAGATGAGAATGCTGACTCCATGTTTTCAAAAAGCTGATTTATTATTTTATAAATATATAACTATGTAGCCTTATTTTCTGAAAAATCCTTTCCTTAGGATTTTTCCTCCTGAGAAGCTGAGAAGCCTCAGGAACAAAATGTAAACAATGGTTATCTGCTGCTGTGGAATGCAACAGGTGCATCTGTAATTGGTCTCATGTGGTTGTTTCTAATTAATGGCCAATCACAGTCAGCTGGCTCAGACTCTCTGTCCGAGCCACAAGCCTTCATTATTAATTTTTTCTTTTTCTATTCTTAGCTGGCCTTCTGATGAAATCCTTTCTTCTATTCTTTTAGTATAGTTTTAATATAATATATATCATAAAATAATAAATCAAGCCTTCTGAAACATGGAGTCAGATCCTTGTCTCTTCCCTCAACCTGAGACCCCTGTGAACATGGTCACAAAACTCTACTAAAAGAATAGAAGCAAAGATTTCATCAGAAGGCTAGCAAGGAATAGAAAGAAGTGACGACAAAATCTTGTGACTGACCAGAGAGTCCGAGCCAGCTGACTGTGATTGGCCATTAATTAAAAACAACCACATGAGACCAATCAAAGATGCACCTGTTGCATTCCACAGCAGCAGATAACCATTGTTTACATTTCGTTTCTGAGGTGCCTCAGCTTCTCAGGAGAAAAATACTAGCAAAAGGATTTTTCATAAAATATGTCTGTGACAGGTAACAAATGCAGCAACAGGAAAAAGGAAATAAAGCTTACTACTTTTAAAAGTCGAAAAATAACTGCCTAAGCAAGACTTTTGCCTAAGCATCTTTTCAAGATGTTTAAAAACTTTAGAAGCAACTAAACAGAGGGGGAAAAAAAGGAACAAAAAGTATAGGATGAGAAAGCAAGCAGAGGAAAAGAAAAAGGAATAAAAGGCTGAGCCAGGATTCTTGGACACTTGTGGAAAACCACTGTAATTTAGAAAAGACACAGGGGAATTGGTTTTCAGAAGTAAACCACACTCAGAGCATTTAAGTTCTGTGTGGTTTCTTCAAAACACACAACATAACAATCTACTCATGCATAAATAAAAACCAGGGAAAGCCTAGTCAGACACTCCTCGTGCAAGGCAGGCACAGCCACATTGTGTATGGGGATGGATTCCTCAAATGCGTATCAGAGATTTGCATTAAAATATGGAAATATTTACACAACTGAACATGGACTGGAGCCACATCTGAATTAACACAGTGGCAGTCACCACGATTAACAAGAATTCAAACAGGAGAGCTGCAGAGAGAGATCACTGAGTGATCAAAACAACGGACAGCTTGTTCCAAAGTGGAGATAAAAAGTTTGGTCTGCGTAACGAGCGAGGGGAACACAGCTGTCTTTACATCAAAGGGTGAAGCAGCAAAGAAAAACCTAAAAATAGGCTGAGCTGACGCTGGCCTCATCACTAATGGGTTGATCTTTCAGGCATCTGAAGTTTTGACAGCAAAGCCCATTCAGAGGGTGCCAGAGATTGTTCATTAATGCCCCACACCACCCACTGCAGTCAGCAACTGATGCAGGAAAGAAGCCTCACTAGACAAAACTTCTTATCTTACATCTAAGCAAGCAACCCTTACAATCTCACACAACAAAACCTGACTAGAGGCAATCACTGAAATACAAATAACCCTGTGAGGGCATTTGCCTTCTGTAGGAACACATCCTCTCCACTCTGTACAGCTCATCTTCCTCAGCTTCCAAAGGAGGCATCAAAGGCAGGGGCTGGAAAGGGCAGCAGCAGGAAAGTGTCCCTGATCAGGGCACCAGGGAGGCTGGGCATTGCAACAGCTCGCTGAAAAGAGCAAAGGAGCACAAATTTAACCTAGTTCTGAGCTCTCCCCCTGGTGCTGACCTGGCAGCTGTGAGAATGGTCAGGAGCCCTGTGCTAACACACACTCTGTGCCTGCTCTTTGAAGCAGCCACCGTGTGCCTTCCTTCAAACACCACCCAAATACATCCCTTGCTTTTGAGGTATTCCCAGCAAGCTCTCTGCTCTGTTCAAAGCTTTGTTTAACGTTCCCCAGGATTTTATTTCACAGATCCACTTTAGTGTTTTGCCTGACAAGTGTAATTGTCTCACAATATCTACATAGGTTTCCCTCTCGATAGAGCCCTTAGGACTTCTTGATGTCTAGTGTGCTTTTCCCTCATCCTTTTCAGGTCTCTTCTGAATAGATCCTCTCAAGCAACCAGAAATTTTGTCCACTCAATTACAGATTTTTCAAATAAGGGCCTTCCACAGAGACTAGACATATTATTAGTGCAGCTGCCTTCCTCCTGAGGCAGTGGGTAGACTTAAAACTTAAAATGAGAAGAGAAAAAAATAAAAAAAGAAAGAAAAGCTACCAGTGTTTAACATCAGAGCTCATCCCTTGCCATTGTTAGTTTGTCACAAAAGATTGTTTCATCACACAGAACAAACAATCCTCACTTCAAGCATAAATCAGCTAAGCCCAAACCAGGATGCAGACTTTACTTAATGTACCCAAGACAAGATAAACACCAGAGTGGCTGCTGGTGCTCGTTATAATAAAGGAGGGAACTGTCACACAGACACTCTCAGGCTGATTTCCCTAACAACAGCCAGAGATTGATAATAGCAGAAGACACTTGGAAGATCAGACTGCACAATACTTACATTATTCAAGCAAAATCTATGAAGCACTGGAAAGTCTTAAAAAATCCACAGCTCCAAACCAATGGAAAATATAAAGAGCCTTTCTTCAGCTCTTTATTTTGATTAAAATGAGAAAAATGAGACTGTGCAAGATCCCAGAGGTTTGTCTACCACATGTGTGTTCATCATTTCCATTTCAGCATCACCTGCCTCTCTGATTCTGTTTTGTAGTGCAATTTCATCTGAGGTGACACCGGGGGCAGCTGCAGTGACTCCTCCAGGGACACATCACAGCATGCTCAGCCTGCTACCAAACACAAGGATGCCCTGGGACCTGGTCTGACACAGCCTGAAGGTGAACACAGAGTCACTGGACCTGGCCACATCAGCTGTGAGGATGATGATGCTGCTCTGCTACACTGACTGAGGACAGGGTGATTTGCATCTACTGATGAACAAGCAGCTCAAAATGGAGATTTCCCCATTTTTCATAGTGTTATTGGGAAAGGAAGGCATAGGAACCATGGAGTTTTCTCAAGCAAGCAATCTGCAAAGACACAGCAGAAAGTCTAATCCCCTGACTTCTCACTGCATTCCCAAAAGCTGGGTTTGCTTTTCCAGCACTTCACTGCATTTCCACAGCAAGAAAATACCAAAGCATTCCATGCTTGCAGAGAGGAGCCTGCTGTTTGCTGCACTGCTGAAGTGCCTCACACATCAGGAATCCTGTCCCTGATGGTTGGGAGAACAAGGAAAAGCTGCAGCTGCTCCAGCAGCACCTGTGAGCTCACCCTGCTGCAGGGCACACCTGCTCAGGGCTGTCCTGCAGGGTGATGCTCAGGTAAGCTGCTCCTCCCAGCTGCTGCAGAAAAATCCATCTTTGGTCACTGCATTTTGTAAGATTAAGACTTCTCTATCATGAACTGCAAGCAGGCAGAGTTTATTGCATCTGCTTTGCCTAACTGAAGAGTCACAGATATCTGAGCAACCTCACAATACAGAAAACTCAGTAAAATGTGGTTTTCAAAGAGATTTTTTTATTTCCTTACCCTTCCTACCACACAGCCTGGTTTCTATGCACCCAGACAGAAAATAGTTATTTCATTCTATTTCAAATATTGTCCCAATTAAGCCAAATTTTGCTTTTAAAAGAAAATTAAAAAACCCCAAACAAGTGCCGTTAACTGCTACAAAATTTAATGAAGCTTTAAAAAAAAATATTATGGAATCTTGTCACACTGAGTAATTTTTATTACAAGGGCAATTTTCTTTAATGAAAGTTGTTAGGTGAACTGGACAGATTCCAATGGCGGTGCCTATGCTGGGCAAAGTAACACAGCCCAAAAATATAAATGAGAGTAAGATCACCTGCAGATTAAAAACTATTCTGGTAGTTTGTTAGCACACTTTGCAATAAAGTTGATGCACAGTGTATACCAGTCAAGAACTGCTGCTTTCTTTACTTTGAGCTGTAAATAAAACTATGTGAAGACAGCAGAGAAGCTTTAACAAGCAGCCTGCTTTACAGAAGCAGCCCTCAACTTTCCAAAATAAGGCATTTTTTCCCACAGGTCAATTTTTTCTGGTGGTGCTCTTATTGTACTTCTTCCTACTGGCCCCATCCAAGCAGAGCTGCCCTCAGATCCCTCTAGTCACGGCAAGAACCTTCCAAGATTGGAATTCCTCCTATCCAGTTGACTTTTCATTCCAACATTGTACTCTGCCACATGAAGAGGCACCTAAGAAATTCAAAAACAAGCATATGCAGAAGCTGGGGGAAGACAGAAGAGTCCAAGGAGTTGTTTCTGTTTGGTTTTTTTTTTTTTTTTAATAGCTTATAGTCCCTGTAACAGCTCTGCAGTATTTAGCAGGGAAGGGAGTACCAATATTAGAAAAAAAATACCAGCCATGACTTGAAACTATTAAAGTGATTTATGTCCTGTGAAAGAACTATGAGTGAAACACTTCTGTCCTGCCAGTGCAACATTTCATGGTTCACATGATACCATCAGCTTTGGTTTCTGAATTTTACACTGTGCAGCACATCTGCAGCTCCAGTGCCTTTTCCAGATGTGTATCATCAACTCAGTCCAGAACAACAGCACTGCAGAAAAAGGAAACATTCCCAGCCACCTTCCCACATCACTCAGGTGCCATTGATAGCACCAAAGGTGCCTCTGCCCTACAGGACCTGCT